AAGGGAGAGGCAGGTGTGGGGCAGCAGCTGGAGTTCAGCAGCCTGGATCTGCGGGCTCAGAGAGCACAAATCTTCTCCTCCGCTGTTATTTCCAGCTCGCCATATGGACGCAGGAGCTGGAACGCCACCAAGGAGATGTCTGAATTGCCTTCCAAAGCAAACGCCTCTGGAAAAGACTGGGTTGAAGTGGAACGAGGCGCACAGCGAGCGCCGGGATGCTGTCAGGAGGGCATCCCAGAGTCACCCGGGAGGCACAGTGGAAATATTTCAGGTGCCGCAAAAGGGTGCTGGGAAGCAGTGGAAATAAAAAGACGACTGAAAGGCCGAGCAGAAGGGATTTGTGTGAATGGTTCAGGGGAAAAACAGAGGCTGAGCATGCAGGATTTGAACCCTCAGAGGCCAGGAGAAGGAAAGACCAGAGCCTTTTTTTTTTTCTTGCAACATTTCAGTCGCTGCCTGGCCAGCCGTGATGGGTGACAGAGGCACGGCCGCACAAACCAGGCTGACCTTGGGGAATTCCTCTTCGGACATTCAAAGTGGAATTCCTCCTTGACCTTCAGGTGCCGGCGTGGCTGCCTCGAGGCGTGCTCATGCCCTGGGTGCTCCTCCAGCTCTCGGGCCCCTCCCTGCCACCCACACCTTTTCCATTTTTGCTTGCTAATTGGGAATAAGAGAAGGGCCACAGCACGGTGCTGCTCAGGGACTCATAGAAGAGGTGTAGGATGCTCCAGGAGCTTTTTTTAGGGGATGCTCGGCAGCTTTGGGAGCCTCCCTGGATGCTCACCCTGCAGTGAATCCAGGTCTCTCATCCTCGCTTCTCCCTCTTCTCCATACAGAGACGCACAAAACCCACAGAGGCACTGCGACAGGGCAGCAGGATCTCAGGAAGATGCCCTAAAACCCAGTTCCTAGCTGCGGGATGACCCCAAACACGAGTGCAGCCAAACCACTGCCTCGCTCCCTGCCTCAGTTTCCCCACCCCAAGCAGACCCCTCGGGGCAGATGCGGCCTCGCTGAACGCCCAACGCCACGCGCAGCGAGCCCAAGCCCCGGTTTCCTCAGCTGCTGCTGTCATCCAGAGAAATAATGAGCGCTCTGCCTTTGAGTCACTGCCATAAATGATGTGCTCCGGTCTGGTAAACACTATTACATCACCTCTCGCATCTGACACTCTCCAAAAGAAAAAGGAAACACACACACACAAAAAAAAAAAGGGTTCCAGTAGGTTTCAGTATCGCTTCTGCTCTGTTCCAAGACGAAACGAAGCCAGCTTCCTGCTGCGCTCTCCTCAAGTGCTGTTTGTTTCTGCACTCCCGTCCTGTTTTCTGCCACCATCGGTCTTCAGACTTCGCCAGGAGCATCGGGCGGCTCGGAAAGTCGTGACATAGTCACGACAGACAGCTGGGGATTTGGTGGAGGTGCCAGGAGGCAAACGCAGCGCTTCCACTCCCTGCACGCCACCGGAGCGCCTTGCCTCCGCCGGGGAACCCCCCCCGCTGGCTTTTTCTCCAGCCAGCACTTGAAAAATCTCCAAAAACGGGTGTTGTGGGAATCCAGGACCCTCAGAGTGGAGAATTTTCCCCCAAAACCCTCAGACCTGAATCTCCAGCGCTGCTTTGTGCTTGTTGCCCCTTGCCTCGCTGCACCGTGCCCTGATCTACCCTGCGAGTAGCTGCAAGCGCTCAGGATGCAGAGAGGTGGTGCCGCGGGAGCTGGGAATAAAAAAAAAAAAAAAGGCAACCCTCTGACCTGCAAAAGCCCTCCTGCGGCACAGCGAGGCTCTGCCCTCCTCTGAATCACAGGGACGGGGCTAAAAGTACGCCCGCTGCTCCTTTTGAATCACAGGGCTGAAGACGGGGTGGTTTGACAGCTGGAACAAGGCACCACGCCGCCCAGCTCAGGGCTGTCGAAACTTCTGCTCCGTGCTGGGTCAGAGGGCTTCCAAACCTCTCCCCTCGCAGCTTTCCTCAATGCTCCCCTCCCTGGCTGCAGCTCCAGCCCAGCACTTGTTGGCCAAGCATTCGGGCAGCCCGGGATGTCCCCGCACTGCTGATCCCACTTCTGCCCCCATCCCACATCCTCACCCAGCGAGGATGCCCTAAAGGAGGGACATCGAGGATCCTTCAGGGGCCAGAAGAAGCCTTTCTGCAGGGATTTACCCGAGGAAAAGGGTGGCAGGATCTCAGATCAGCCCCTTTAACCTCTCAAACCCTCTGACCTGGCGCAAGCTGCTCCTGCCTGATGGAAGACGGCCGCTGCCACATGCAGCCAAACCTTCCCCCCAGTTAAACCAGTTGAGGGGAAGCACTAAGGGATTGTAAAACCAGTGCAGGACCAGAAGGGTTTGGTTCGGGCAGAATTGCAGCTGCACATCTTGGCCAGGCAGAAAATTCAATGATTTGGGGGTACTCAAACACCCAGGCGAAGCGCGGTGATGTGATGACAGGAGGCTACGAGCCCCTCCACGACCACAGAAGTTATTTTTTACGTTGTTTTTCTACCAGAGAGCCCCTCCCTGACCCCAAATTGGTCTCAGACAGACAGACACAACCGGCAGGAGAGCACCAGGAGACGGTGGGCGAGCACAGGGCGGCACAACATGCGCTGGTCTAGGCTCATGGGTCCCACAACCGAAGCCAAGGGGGTTGTTTAGGGACCTGATTTTTCATTATTTTTTCTGCATCCCGAGCAGAAGTTGGCATTTTGGTGTCTCCACTGCTTTTGACCTTCAAACATCTGCTTGGCTTTCCTACCAGCACCAGGGTGACATCTGTGGGGCTCATCCGAGCCTAACCAACTGTGGTCCCAAGACCGGGTTCATAGCAAGGCAGAAAAGAGGCAGGAATGATCTGAGGCTGGAAGAGCTCGTGCTTGGCTTGGGGGAACCCAACGGGAGAGAAAATCCCGAGCCCGCAGCATCACACACAGCACGGGCAGCCCGAGCAGGCCCCGCAGCGGGTGCGGGGGAGCTGCCCGTGTGGACATGAGGAAGAAAAGCCAGCACCTTCCCCTCTTGCCAAAGATCTCCTTGAGAAGTAAAAGCAAAACAAAGCCGGGCTTGCAAAAGCACAGCGCTTCCAAGGGCAGTTTCAGCCCCACGCCCATGCGCGGACACGCACAGCTTGTCAAAAAAAAAATAAATAATAAAAATAAATCCATCATCTTCCCCGTGTCAACGCAGCCGGAGCAGGAACTTCAAACCCAATTAGCAGCATCCTGCAGCTCGAGATTCCTCCTTTGAGGTCTCCGAGCGGAATATAAACCAAAGGCACGAGGCGAGAGGCGAAGCCTTCCTGGTGAAGCCCTACAAAAGCCGGCGCAACGCCGCGGCAGCCTTTTGAGGGTGGAAACCCAAACGCTGCCCACGTGGTTTTGGGGCAGATCACAGAATCGGTGAGGTTGGGAGAGACCTCCACGATCAGCCAGTCCAACCTCTGACCTAACACCAACCAGTCCTCCCCTAAACCACGTCCCTCAGCTCTACGCCGAAAAGTCTTTTGAAGCCCTCCAGGGATGGTGACTCCACCACCTCCCTGGGCAGCCCATCCCGATGCCTCACGACCCTTTCGCTGAAGAATTTCTGCCTAATATCCAACCTAAACCTCCCCTGGTGCAATTTTAGCCCGTTCCCCTTCATCCTGTCTCTAGGAGGAGCAGAGATCCCCCTGAGGTCCATCTGCCAAGCTTCCTGCCCCGTGTGCGCTGCGTGGGCTGGCCGGGCGCATCGTGGCCACGTTTCCTCCATCCAGGGAGGGAGGGAGGGGAACTAAGGATGTTTTGACAACACAGGTGGCTCACGAGGCTCTTGGGGCTGCAGCCGGATGAAAAGCAGCCTTATGCCCGTGGCTAATTATGCCCGTGGCTAATTAGCCCTCACCGGCGGCGTGGATTCGGCTCCCGCAGGAATGCCGGAGCACGAGGTGGGTGAAGCCCCGACGGGAGCACCCTTTTACGGGGCAGGTGCCGGGGAGCTAATGATGTTTGATGAGTTAAGGCCGCCGGTGACTCAGGACGAGCAATTAAGCTGATTTCTGCGGGAGGAAGGCGCTTTGCTCCATTAAGCTAAAAGCATCCTCCGCGGCTCAGCCCGTCCACCACCCGGCGAGCCCACGGCAGGGTTTGGATGTTTTCCCCTACAAAAAAACCGGACGCTTTCACCTTTGTCTCGGGATATTTTGGGGCCGGAGCCCCTCCCAGATCCGCAGCCTCACAGCGACCCTGTCCTGCCTCCAAGGGGACAGGGCACGCAGCTGTAGGGCTGGAGGCATCCGAAGGGGACGGCACCCCTCATGCCTATAGGGCCACCCCCATTTTGTGTTATCGTAACCCCAAATCACAGCCACCCCTCCGACCCTACCCCAGTCCATGAAACAGGTTTAGGGACGCCCACCGATCCCCAAAAAAACATCAGAAAGGATGATTAGGATGGAGATCCATAATGAAGGGGGAGCATCCAGCTGGACGACCCCATTGGGATGCGATGTGCCGAGTCATGGGGTGGCAGCTCTTTGGGGCCAGGCTCCCGGCGAGCCCGTGGGGAGGAGGAAAGGCTTTCCTCAGACAGCGGGGACGGCGCCGGGGCTGGCGTTTGGACCCTTTTTCTTTTACAACTTCCTCACAGGCGTTTGATCCCGCTCGGGACCCGAGGGGTGACGGCGGGGCTGCTTGGACGTTGCCCCATTAATAGGATCGGCGGGCGGGGAGGGGGAAGCAGACATTATAGGGTGTGGGGAGGGATCCCCAGACGCTTTACCTTTCCCCCCAGGACCGAAGGCACCCCAAAAAAATCCCCTTAGGGGTTTTAAAAGGGTTGCTGACACCCCTGGGTGCCCCCACAGCGGGGCTGAGCCGAGTCCCCCCAGCAGCAGGTGCACCCGGGCATGGAAAGGGGAAGGGGGGGGACTGTCCCAAAAGGGCCTCCCCTATCCCAAAGGGGCTGTCCTGAAGGGTCTCCCCCCATCCCAAAAAGGTCCCCCCCCCCGACCCCAAAAGCCACTCACGTATCGCCTCAACTTCTTCTCCGGCGGCGACTTGCGGAGCCAGCCGGCGCACACCACCTCGCCCCCGCTCATCGCCACCCAGCCGGCCGCTGCCTCCCCGGCCCCGAGCAGGAGGAGGATGAAGGACGAGGAGGAGGAGGACGAGGAGGAGGGATGGAGATGAAGAGGGAGGGACTGGGGAAGGGGGGGCACACACACAACGAGCGCCTCCCCCCCCCCCCCCCCCTTCTCTCTGTCTCTCTCCCTCCCTCAGCTTCCAGCCGCGGCTGCGGGCGGGGAAGCAGGAAACCGCCTCCCGGCCCGGCTCTCCCCGCCTCCCGGCCGGCTTTAAAGACACAAAACCTCCCCTCCCTGAGGCAAAAGGGTGCCCTAAATCCCCCTCGGCAGCTCCCCGACCCCACAGGGCTTGCCCCGACCCCACAAAGCTTGCCCGACCCCACAGGAGTTGCCTCAGCCCGGCCCTGCCCTCACGGAGCCCGAGGTGGAAACTTTCCGGGCCCCGCGCCACCCCCCCCTCGGTTTTACACCCCCCACCCCTTAATTTTGCCCCTCAGATTTTGCACTAAACCCCCCTAATTTGAAGGTTTGGAAGCAGAAAGCCCCCCCCAGAGAGGTTTTCACAAGGGTTTGGCAGGTTTGGAAGCAGAAAGACCCCCCTCAGAGAGAGGTGCCCGGCTGAGCTCAGGGCCCAGTGGGGGAGATGAGGGGGTCAGAGGGGTAGCAAAGGGGAAAAAAAAAGACCAAAAATCCCCCGCAAAGCCAAAATTAAACCCCAAAAAGCAAAATCCAAACCAACATGAGCATCGACAGCATCAAAATAACATAAAACCAACATGGAAATCAACAAGGTGCCCGGCTGAGCTCAGGGTCCCGTCGGGGAGATGAGGGGGTCAGAGGGGTAATAAAGGGGAAAAAATGACCAAAAAAAAGCCCCAAAACCAAACCAAAAACCCAACCCCCAAAACAAGAACATCAACAACAAAAAACCATCAAACCAACATGAAAATAAACAATAAAAAAAAAAAAACAAAAACAAAAACTAAAAAAAATGAAGGCAAACCAAACCAATAAACCATGGCAGCGGGTTGCAGCAAAATCCCCCCCTGCCCTGAGGTAAATAATAATAATAATTGAGGGGAAGCAATAAAAGCCTCATTTTTTATTTTTTTCTTGTTGTCAGTAATGGAGCAGCACCCACTTCATCCAAGGTACTACGTCCCTTTACAGCCCTCTAACCCTCCTTTTGCTCCATCCTTAAACACAAACCCCTGGGCATGGCAGTGGGAAAAGTGGTTCTGTGCCGAGTCCCTTTCGCACTGCACCTGTTTTGTGGCAGTGTTTTTTTTTTTTTTTTATTTTAAGGAAATACAAACTGGGGATGGATTTCCCAGACCTGCCTCTCTCCGACGGCTCTGCCCCAAACCTGCTGGGGCACATTCAGTCATCGCTCCCTGCCTCGATTTCCCTCCCTGCCGCTCCAACCTCCGTGGGCAGGGACGGTCTCTCCTGGCGTGTCCCTGCTGCAATAACAGCTCCAGCCTGGGACAAAAACCAATATATGAGGCTGCTCGAGCGGGGATCTTGCGTCACGAGCAGTAATTACAGCTCGCGGTGCCTCTGGGAGGGAGGGATGGCACCTTTGTGCAAGCCGGGGACACGGCACTTAGGCCATACGTTGTTTATCAGCTTTGCGAATATACACCGGAGGGGAATAACCCCTTGAGGAACGAGGATGTAATTTGTGAGGGATGTATTTTTGTAGGCTTCATTTTTATTTTTATTGTTGCCAGGTTAAAAGAAAAAAAAGAGGAGTTTCAGACCTTTTCCTTGATCCTGTTCCTGCAGGTGCCAGCTGTGCCCGCACACCCCAGCTGTGCCTCACTCCGTGTGCAGGAGCCATCCACGGGGTAAATGGGGTGACCCCGTGCTCTGATACCAGCTTCAGAGACCTTCCCAAAACCCAGCACTCCTCCAGGGAGGCCGGAGACCCCCCGGGAGTTTTCAGAGACCTAATTGAGAGCGGACAATCGCGATTAATAGGCAGGTATCGTGCAAAGCCACTCCGTGCTGCCCATTAATGATTCACGGGCTAGGAATTTGGTCGCACTGACACAGATGCAAAGTGGTATCAATTTGAAAACCAGTTGCGGAGAACCCCGTCTGCATTTTTATGTTAACAACTTTCCCCACGCAGGGCCAAAACGCTTCACTGGGGCCACGGCTCTTTAAAGCGATGCTCCTTAATGAGCATCGGGGTGAATTGGTATGAGTTATTCTGCATGGCCTTGGGGTTATGACCCTGCTCCCTGTCCTCTCCTTTCTCTCTACTCATCCCCTGTCCTGGTGCCCAGCTCCTGACTTGCTTATATCACCCGATCATATTTGACCGGTGTCCAAAACACGAAGCATCCCCAGGAATTCTTTTTTTCACGCCTCTGCTGATGCCTACCCTAAAAGCCTGCCGCACGCAGCTCCCCGGCAGGCTTTTGGATGGGAAACGGGTTGCGATTTGTGCACCTGTAAGCACGCTGCCAGCTCAGCCGTGAGCCAGAAGCTCCGTGCAGAAAAATCGCTCGCAACAAAGGCGCTCTGCCTGAACGTGCACGCCTAAACCCTGCCACGGCAGCGCTCAGAGCGGGGCCAGCGAGTAAAACCTGGCATCAGGCGGCCAGATTCCTCGTGACCCAATGCATGTCGTGCTATAGCACCGGTGCCACTGAAAGCATTTTGCCAGGAATACAAATCTTGCCCCCGACGCAGTATTTGCTCTGGAGCAAACCGGAGTCAGAGCAAACCAAAAAAAAGGGAGGAATTGAGAGGTGGTGTGTAAGAAATCACGTTCCTACGGGGCTCTGAGACAAATCCCACGTTTGGTGTGCTGGGATGCCTGGGAAGGAGCTGCCCTTCCTCCTGCAGAAACCTCCGGGGGGTGGAATTTAATCACAGCCTTCACCGGGCTTCCTCGTTCTCGGCTGAAACTGAGATCCACGTGTGAAAAACCCCAACTTCTGGCGAACCGCAGTGCCCACCGCGTCCCCTGCCGCCTCCCGGTTTCTTTAACCGAGCTGTGCCATCTGCTGGCCCAAGGAAAAGCTGCAAGAAGAGCGCGTCCAACCTCGCAGCGGCTTGCTGGGGAGGCAGGATGGAGACAACGGGGCATTTCCTGGGGATTAGGGGCCCAGCTGGCGGAATGCTTTGGGCTACTTACCCCAGCCAGGCTCTGATCCCTAGGAAATGCCCTGCGCGGGGGTTAAAATAAACCAAAAGAGGCTGCGGGGAAAGAGGCTCTGAAAATGCGCCGTGCTGCCGGGTGCTGCACGCCTGCTTTGCCATTCCGAGCGCACGCTCGGGCTCTTGAGATGCAGCTCCACGCCGCGACCTGACTTTATCTTCACCACACAGCTCCTGCAGCAGGGCTGGCTGGCAGCGGTGCCTTTCATGTCATCCAAATTTGTCAAGGTTAGGGAAAAAATAAAAAAAATGCTTCTCTTTCAAGAAGGATTGGAGCCTTTTCAAGCTTTCTACCCTGCGTAAAAGAGCACGGCGAGCCCCCCAGAACAGCCAGCGGGTGAAGCCAAACCCCAAGCCGGTCCTTGCCTTTGTCGATAGGCAGCAGCTCCAGCAGCTCTGGCTGCTTTCCCTGAGCAGGGGGAATATTAGCACAGGATGCGCTGATCAGCTAACGAGGCAGTTTGAAGCATCTTCACCGTGGTGTTCTGGCAAAGACAGGGGCACCAGAGCTCTGATGCCTTTGCAGAGACTCAAAAAAGGGAAAGAGACGACTCGGGGGGCAGCAGTGCTGGAGATGCACGCGCAGCCTGGAAATTGATGGTCCTGCAGTGATGGGAAAACAATGGGATGGGATTTAACAGGCTGCCCAGAGGGGCTGGGGCTCCTCTTTGGTGCTGAATTTTTGTCTGGATGCAGCCAGGGGACGCTTCCAGTCCTTGCATTTTAAGATAATGACACGGGTTTTGCTGCTTGGGAGCCAGGATCCAAGCTAAAGCCCAGTCCTGCTTCCCACACTAAACCAGACCATTTGAAATAATTTCGCAGAGAGCTGAGCTGGGACAAAACACAACTGAAATTCTTCCAAAATCTGGGCTCAGACAGAAGTTCTTCACGCCTGGTCCATCCTTCTGGGATGCTTTGACCGCAGCCAGGCCCAGGGCAAGCAACCGTAAAACAAATCACAATAAAAGGAGCAGGGAGAAGTCTTTGCCCGGCTCCCCTGCCTGTTTACCCGAGCCTGGTATCCTCTGACATCCTTCGGCATTACTTCCAGAGCAGATGGTGCTCTGTGGTAGAGCAAACGAGCAATTATCCTCCTGACACCCCGCGAGGCCTCCCCGCATGCGATCGCAAGAAGTTACTTCACCCCAAGCTAAGAGCTGTTGTCTGGCTTTTCAGCATAATTGGCTGTAATCGAGTTTAATTTGGTTGGTGCAGTAACTCTGAAGACTTTTGTAACCGGATTACTGTCGGCTCAGCGGTCATGTGCCATTATATTTGCTGGGCAAAACAGAAGCCAGAATAAAACCAGATGCTTTCCCCCTGCTCCTCCTTCCAGCGGCACCCCTCCAGGATATGAGCTCGCGCTGCACAGTCACCGTAATGAACTCAAAATGCTATTAGGAGAAGGAAGTCGTTGCTGTCATATTACATTCAGGCCTCTCCTAGAAAGTGTAAATGATCTGCTCTATGTATCTCTGTTTGTTTACAGTCGGAGACCACGCACAGCTTAGGGCTAAAAATACTGGAGCACAGATCTAAGATGTGCACGAGCTTTGAGGTGTACAAATCTTATTATCCTTCTGGTACAGAGAGGGGAGCTCGGACCAGGAGCAGGAGTGAATGAGCCCCTCAGGTCCCATTTTCTGCTGTACATCACCAGCCAAGAGAAAGGACTAACAGGATGAGAATGCTGTGTCTGTAGCAGATGCACGGATCTACTGCAAGCAAGCCATAGGTGAGAAAGACAAATGTAACTAAGCCAGCAGCATAAAGCCCTTCTTTTCAGACCTTCCAGCTCTTACTGGCGTTAACTTACCCAGGCAGCGTGTGAAAGGCTGTTCTTATCAGGCTTTAGGACAAATTTTGAAAATTCAAGACCCTGTGGACCCCCCGATGCTGGGATTTAAGACCCAGTGATATCCTCCTGACCGATGCTGAGACCAGACAAATGGAGACTGAAATGTACTTTTTTTTTAACAGTGAAAATGTACTTTTTTA